TATTTGAAGAATGTGTTCAGGAAAATATGCTATTAGTAATACAGAGTTATATGAAAACACTAGAACTGATAGTTTTTCCACACTGCGACTAATTAGATAATTTTCAATATTCTAACTCCGACAAACTATTGCTTCTAGCGAAGACAGAAATAGTTCACTTTTATGTCAATTGTAATGATAATTTATTCCCTTGTTAATACTGATTAGGTTCAGGTTCCATTCTGAAAAGGAAATAGAACATTGTCGATTATTTTACCGTTGTGCTTGTTCTTCTTTTAGGACTTGGTGTTTCAAACTCGCGGCCCACGGGCCAATAGAGGCCCACAGGACAATGTATTGTGGCTTCTACTTGACCCGAAAACGAATAGAAACAACAGAAATGTGGTTTCTCAGAAAACTTTTGAGAATACTACGAGAGGAAATGAAATCAAAAGAGGCAATACTGAAAAAAGCCCATGAGGGCTGCTCACTAATGAGAACACTTAGGAAGCGACGAACGCAGTCTCTGGGACACTTGAATCGACATGCTCTCACTCTCACTTAAACATTGAGGGCAAACGAGGCAGGGGTAGAAACTTATTTGGAAAATGTGAACAGGTGGGTGACAGAGGAACACGAGGATAATATAATAATTGTTTTTGACAGCATCCAGGCCGAGAAATGGTCGGAGAACCATAGTCGCTGATGCCTGTCTCAGATCTGGTAGTTTATGAAGATGACTTTCCGTCAAAGTTTAGTGTAGCGCGGCCTTCCCTCAAGTCAACTATGGCTGAGCTTCCTGGCAGCAAGGAGAAGGTTAGAGGAGAAGCGTATGTTCTGAAGAACCGTTCATATTCTGAACTTCTATCAATAAAGATTGCACATTTTGAAAAAATGTACTTGAAACCTTATGTGGGAGGAATACTTGATGCGACTAAGGCCCATTCAGATTCTACCTCCAGCGGCCCTCGTGATTCCCCTATAGCAGGTGATGATAGAACATGACTAGACATTACGTCGAAGCAGGCTGATTACAGGTTCTCGTCTGGTGTTTGGGATTATGTATCGAGATTTCTAGTATGTGTTTGAATGTCAGTAGGATGTTTTGGAATATGTTAGAACATACAATTGCAAAGGCTGTAATAATATACCATTCCATTCCTTGCAATGTCCAGGGTTAAAATGACCAGAATCTGTGGTGTAGTGGTTAGGTGCCTCACTGTCGCACATGACACCCGAGTTCGGTTCCCGAATAGGAAGAATTTTTTTATTATCGGGTTTCTCGGTTTTGTAAATAATCTCAACCTTGTCTATGGCGGCGTGAAACACTTGCATTAAGAAAAAGGTTAAATTGTGAAAAGCTATGGATGGCTTTGCATTTCAGCTAGTACTGCTCTATTCCGGCATCTTATTTTATTTGTAGAAATTTGCTGGACATATTACTTACGCTCCGGTAGTAACATTATAGCTTGGAGCCTGCATGTTGGGATCAGTGCTGACTGTGTAGGATTTATCCCAGCAAAATACGGAGACGCACATAAAGAATAATTATTTCTCACATGGGATTTAAATTCGCTTAGTTTGCATAGTTGTGAGGTGGCAAAGCGGTTAGTGCGCTTGTTTCCGGCCGAAGGCCCAGGAAGTTGTCTCACTAACAAGGCAATCACCAATGTCCGGATCGGATGCGGGAACAACTTTTCTTTTACTTTACTTTGCATAAAAGGCAAATAGCTCTTTACACCATTACGCCACTGCCCATAGTAGTCACGACATTGGCACGACTCGGACGAGATCCTGCAAAGACTTTATTGAGCATTTATTGTGTGTTCGTTATTATGGTTTCTCTATTGCTCTACCGACCACACCATGCCCACAGACTCCACAAGGGCATTTCTTTCCTTATCAAGTCACAATTTTGAAGATGTACAGAGACAAGCTTGACCTTCTTGCTTTCGCATGAGACAGACGACATAATTTAGAGAAATGCTGAAAAAACAACAACAACAACTGTTGTTTTGTGTCTAATAAGGTCACAGTTATCTCTACCGACGTCATTAACTGTAAAACAATCTCCAATCACGTTTTCGCTGGATGGCACTCTCATAGACATTATTTGCTTCAACACAGCGGGCCAAAGCTACAACTTCTCTGAATTAATACAACAAAAAAGAAAAGAAAAGAAAAAAGGAGAACAAAACACAAGAAAAGAAGAGAGGCAAAAGAAGGGAAAAAAGACAAAAGAAAAGAAGAAGGAAATATGGTTCCAACTTAGTTCCAGTTAAACTTTTCGTTTTTAACGTACCAGATGCCGCTGTCAGGTACAGGTGGTTGCGTTTGTATCACTGGTACAGCTTCCACATCTGACCTATCCCTTTACAGGTTCTGTGTGTCTGCGCGTCTGTGTCTATCTGTTCAACACTCAATGACCTTTCTGATTTGGAATTCACTTCTTTTTAAAAGCAGAACTGTCTCAACTGCCCGCCCTATCGCTTTCACACGTCGGAGAGTTGAGATAAGTTAGGCTGAGAGCAGAAAAACTTTGCTTTTTCAGCCTCTCGGCCGAGCGATGATAGGCGAAGGTCATAAAATGAAGAGCTAATCTGATTGCCTGCCAGTAAAGGAGATTGAAGTTGAAGGGAAAAGAGGCAAAGAAATGAGAAGAATTTTGCTTTCCAATTGAGTCTAAAGAAACAGAGTTTTATATGAATGTTAATGTCGGTGAAAGAGAGATTACGTATTTTGGCGTTTTGCTATTTCATGGGATTGCCAATTAATTAAAAGCTGGGTGGCTGGTGATGCAGTTGATTGCCGACGTAAGAAACAATCGGAAGCCTAAGGTTTGAATCCCAAAACGTTCTGTTTTTTTTCTTTCACTACTTGGAAAATTTCCTCTCTGTCTGGAATTCTCAATGGGGGAGGGGAAGGGGTTGGGTAAGTGTCCAAGCTTCTAATTTACTCCCTACTCAAAAGGTATCGAATAAGCGCCCCACCTCCCCCCTCTTATTAATGTTCAGATTTTTTTTTCGCACTCCCTCGTTTATAATTTTCTAGCTTGCCACGACCGACGATCATGTGATGTGAAACATTGCATCTAGAATCTAGATATTTGAAGAAACTTCTTTCTTTTTTGTATAGGCAAATTACCCTCAATATGAGTACCGGTACCGGATTGGCTACCTCAATTTTCGGTGCATTTTAAAAACTTTTGTACATTGGTTTATAGTTTTTAATGAAACTGGTTTGTTCCTAAATCGGAAAAGTTGTCTCAGTAAACTTACTAGAATCATTAAAATTTCATGATCTCTTTTTATTTTATTCACTGAAGGAAAAATAGGACACATTTGTTCCTACAAGTACATTGGTTTTGAGGTTGAATGTGCCACCCTCCACTTCTATTCCAACCCCCCTCCCCCTTTTAAAAAAAAATTCCATACCTTAAAGTATGTGTCTATCTGCAAGTTAATATCTAATAAATAAATAAATAAATAAATAAATAAATAAATAAATAAATAAATAAATACATAAATGGAAATATCGACCAAAGTCGAATGATATGTTGTGTTTGGTTTTGCTTCTACTAGCATTCCACGCAAGAGAAAAAAGTATTTCCATCTTTTTGTTGCGATACGTAATACATAGATCACCCAGGCTAGTCCTGGGATGCGGCTCGAAGCAATCCAAGATGAGACACAAACACACATTGAGTCTGTATGCTCACAGGAAAACCATTTACCTCGAACCGTATAAACTAAATCTAAAAATTGAAATTATGTACCCGCACACGTATACATGTGTGACATCTACTAAGTCATGTGTGTATAAGTCTCCGTCTTTGTATGTGTGTATATGTGTGTGTATGTGTGTGTGTGTGTATGTCTGTGTGTATATGAAACTGTCGATGTGTGTGTCTCTATGTCTGTGTGTGCGTGTGTGTGTGTGTGTGTGTGTGTGTGTTGTGGGTGCAGTGAGTGTATGTGAATGTGGATGTGTGTGTGTGTGTGTGTGTGTGTGTGTGTGTGTGTGTGTATGTGTGTGTGTGTGTGTGAATGTGGATGTGTGTGTGTGTTTATGTGTGTGTGTGTGTGTGTGTGTGTGTGTGTGTGTGTGTGTTGTGGGTGCAGTGAGTGTATGTGAATGTGGATGTGTGTGTGTGTGTGTGTGTGTGTGGGTGTGTGTGTGTGTGTGAGTGTGTGTGTGCGTGTGTGTGTGCGTGAATGCGTGTGTATGTTTATGTGTGTGCGTGTATGTGCGTGCGAATGAGCATCGGTATACATATCTGTGATAGCTGTGTACGCACGGACCTCCTATGATTATGTTGTAGTACTTTGGTGAGTGTAGGTCTTACCAGTGAGTTAAAGACTCGAGCAGACAAAGATAATAATCATTATAGTCCTCGAGGGAGTGAGTGAGAGAGGGTTAAAAAAAGTATATTATTAGTGATAAGAGATTTATAATAAAGATTGATGAAAGAGATGAATAAAGAAAGAGAAACACACACTCAGACACACTCACACACACGTATATATACACATACATAGAGAGAGATAGATAGATAGAGAGAGATAGAGAGAGATAGAGAGAGATAGAGAGATAGAGAGAAAGAGAGAGAGATAGACAGAGTGAAATAATAAAAAAAGAATGTGAAGTACATAGAGAGGAATGAAAATAGAATGCAGTAGCCATAGCTTAGTAGTGGTTGTGGCAGCAGCAGCAGCAGCAGCAGCAGCAGCAGCAGCAGCAGCAGCAGCAGCAGCAGCAGCAGCAGCAGCAGCAGCAGTAGTAGTAGTAGTAGTAGAAGTAGTAGTAGTAGTAGTTGCAGCAGCAGCAACTGCAGCAACAGCAACTGCAGCAACAGCAACAGCAACAGCAGCAGTAGTTATAACAACAGCAGCAGCAGCAGCAGCAGCAACAGTAGTAGTAGTAGTAGTAGTGTTAGTAGTAGTTGTAATAGTAGTAGTAGTAGTAGTAGTAGTAGTCCATCGTCATCATCATCATCATCGTTCTCATTATCATCTCCCCAGCTTTGCCTCTGGCAGTGCAGGATTGGGCGTGGCGGAGAACTGGGACGCGGTGCTCGGGGAGTACAACAGACGCGTCAACGAAGGCCACGAACAGAGGATCCAGGTGGACGCCATTTTTGTGTCGCCGAGTTATTCACGTAGGTGGTTTCAGGCTGGGTTTGGTATATTTTAATCATATATATACACACACACATATATATATATATATATATATATATATATATATATATATATATATACATATATAATATATATATATATAATTATATATATATATATATATATATATATATATATATATATACAATCGTGTGTATATAATATCTTATTACAACGACTATATCATCATCATCATCATCATCATCATCATCATCATCATCATCATCATCATCATCATCATCATCATCATCATCATCCTCATAAAGTAGAGTGAATCTCTACACTTACTCTACAACCCTTTTTGAAAATGTGATCCCGGCTCGATGGACCCAGTAGAAATAATTCCAAAACGCATTTTGTAATTGTACACAAATCATACACACTGCTACAGGCAGTTATCATGTATTTCCTGATTCAAATGATACAAACTTTATGTTAAGTGTCTTAACCAATGACACATCGTCGTGGCGGGGTTAGAATTTGAACCAACAACCTTATGGTTGCGAGTCCCTTAAAGAACATAACCTCGCGTTTACTTTACCGGAACGAGAGGCCTTTAATAAGAGAGTCTAAAGAATAAAGGGTCTTGCCACATTTTACTAGAGATAGTTCTTTGTACGATGGCATGCGTCAGGGTAAGAGCTTAACACAGAATTTGAATGAAAATTACTGGAAAGCTTTAAATCAGAGTTACGACCCAAATTACACAAACTCAGTAGTGTATCATACGTAAGGCCAGTTTTCATTTTTTCTCGAAGAGACCTCAAAGTGACTAAAGTCCTTTACTTCTCTAGTCACGTCTCATTGCGATGATCATTATTATTCAAGAAACGTGTGCAGGAAGTTCTAAATATCATTTCGGACAAAGGTGTTCCTAAGATAAAAGGTGTTGAGACGAGAAAAGAACCTCGACAGTTGGGACAAAGACTTTCTCTTGTTTCGAATGTTATTACCTCATTTTTCCTGCTTTTAGAGAGGTTTTATTACTCAGCTACTCTGTGGCACAAAGTTAAACTCGTAGCGACTGCGTAGCTGTAGTCTCTGAGAACCATCAACGTCAGTCATAAATATTGTAAGGTAGGAATCCACGTCTACTAGGTACTGGCTTCAAAGATCATCGTAACTGTTCATTGGTGTCGTTATTACTACAGGAAACGCGCTTGTGCCGTGTTATGACTGACAGATAGATAGATAGATAGATAGATAGATAGATAGATAGATAGATAGATAGATAGATAGATAGATAGATAGAGAGAGAGAGAGAGAGAGAGAGGGAGGGGGAAGGAAAGACAGAGAGGGAGTAATATAGCATCGACCAGTGGCACTCTTAAAACGCAAGCAATCCTGTTATAACAACTGGGTCAACGAAGACACTTAATATTACTTTGTAACAGTCATATACCAGACGAACACATTGGGGCTGGCAGCTATTTATGAAATAGAACGTTGTCTAAGTCATCCTGAGCTGTGACGCAGACTACCCTGATTCGATAAACACCACCGCTGTATTCTTGAACATGAGTACTCATAGTTTAGCCGTTTTTATTGTTTTACGTAAATATGACCCAGTTCTAATTCAGACGGGCGTTACCTAATATTTAAATAGGAAATTTGTATCTCACTAGCAGATTTACATTGTAGAAAGAGATGGAACAGAAAGGGGTTTGACTAACAGAACAAGATTAAGAGTGTGGTATATATAATACACATGAATAATAAGTAAATAGCATTTGTATAGCGCAAATTCCCACTCAACCGCGATCTCTAGGCGTTTTACAGTATACATCATTTCCTCAGCAGATCTGATACCATTCTGATCAATCTTAACTCCATGGGAAGCATACAGTGCAAGCTGACATTTTGCTAGCGCCAGAATACTACCATAATGACAAGATATTTACTACTCTCTATGGCCGGGTCCTTATTCACACCTGGGTTAGGTGAGGACAATGTATGTAAATCGCCTTTACCAAGGACACAACATAATGCGTGAAACCTCGAAAACCGAAAACCCCAAACTTCATGTTTAAGAATCTTGTAGTTCACCAACGCCACTATTCTACCGTATTCGGCCCCCACCCAGGTATGTTGATTCCTCCTGGCACCCAGAGGTCAAAGAGTGTTTTAATTCTTCGAGGGGGAAGCTATTTTACCGAATATCCCCGTCTTTCTGTTGGGATAAACGTCGCTGCAGTTGGCCCTGACACCCAGGGTCAGAACAGCCATACCACTGTATGGTCTAAACTGTGTCGAAGGGCCAGCAAGACAATAACTAGAGGTTACCATCAATCAGCATTCAAACATATACACACATAATGTTTCAAATTTGACAGCACTTCTATTTAACAGGCAAAGGGTCTTAGGAAAAGCAACAAAAGAGTGTTTAATGATGAAAGGCATTGTTATCCCCACCCAGGGAAAGTGATCTCGTCTTGAGACATCTTCTGGTTTTCGTTAGCGTTCTAAAAACACCGGGAAGAAATTATTTTTCCTCGCTCTAATACTTTTCATATTTATGTATTCCTAATACATTCTCTTGTCCAAGCTCACTTTTATCAGCAACCCCCCCCCCA